GGAAGCCAAGAGGAAAAAGCGGATCGCGGCCTACAACGTCTTCGCCATGGAAGGCCAAGGCAAGCTCAAATCAAGTGTCCGGAACAGCTTCAAGTGGATCAAGACCAAGTTCACCGCCGACGACTCTCGCCATGGTATTTAATGTTAATTACGGTGTTTATCGTTTGATTAGTCCTTCTGGAAGATACATAATTATCAGACGGGTTTCTGGGTCTCTTCTCTTTTCTCTGGTTTCAATCTTGGGGTGATTCGCCTTTGTTTGGGAACATGACTATAGGGATCATGATTTTTGGGAGGCCATGTGATTAATTATTAAGTGTAATATATATGTTAATGATGTAATTAATTGTGCCTAATACCCAATAAATCTGTAGTTATCGTTTCTTACCTTCAGTTTCTCTACCCCTCTCTCCCCCTCGTGGTACTGTTGTAGCATTGAGCTATTCCCCATGGTTTGCGGCTCACGGGTTTGCGGCTCACGGGACGACACTAATTAAACATACACCTAACAATCAAAGAAGAGATCAATTGTCGACATTCGAAGAGAAGGGATCCTTCAAATGAACCAGCTAACACACCCTGCATAAGATGACGAACACCACCTCTAAGTCGCTTTCCACGAATATCTGGGAAGCCACGTCAACAGAACATGTTCGTCTGAGCCACAAACCACGCAGACAAACAGGCAGCACGAATTACGTACAACAATTTCAAAACTTATTTTAGGAGGCCGGCTTGGAAGAGGTCGTCATTGGGATAGGACCAAATAAGGAGGATGAAATGAGCCATATATATTAGCACAATAGACGCGAGCTCACGAACTTGGAAATAAAACTGACCTACAAGAAAACAGACATGCGATTGAGTAAACTCTTCTTTTTTTATTATTCATTTTCTTTTAAATTGTAGTTGAGTAAACTAAAAACCTCTTTGTCTAACAAATAGACACATTTGAGAATGTTATATTAAGAAGAAAAAACTTTGTTACAAGCAAGGGCTCATCGTTGCATCACAAGATATACACAACTGTAATTTTGGTGGGATAAGCCTGTTATAAAAATATGATATTATAGTTACAAAACTATATTAGGACTTGTAAAACATGAATATAACCATTGAAAGACTACAAAAATCCCCTGGAGACATTCACATATCTATTGAAGAGCAAAAAGACAATGTCGTTTCCTCATATATGCGAAATGATTGGCAATCTGAACTCATGAACCAGCTCCCAAAATGCACAGTTAAGCATTTGGAAAGATGGGGATCCGATCAATAACCCCATCATTTTGGAAACTGAAGAAGAAGTTGGGTTGGTACTTCCATGTGGAAGAGTTCTAGTTTATTGCAAAGTTTTTGCATATGGTGAATGTTGGATTTGGTTGGCAGATTAAGGTCTTCAATTTCACGTGCGTGATTTTTACAATCAAAATGGTAGAATACATCAAGCTTCATGTGTTGATTTACACCAACAGAATGGGAGGATAGAAAGAAAACATCAACACATAGTTAATGTAGCTAGACCTTTAAGCTTTCAATCTGACTTACTTCCCTAATTTTGGGGAGATTATGTTCTACATTATGTGTTCTTAATCAACAAATTATATTTTTCTTTGTCAAATAATATCTCATCTTATGAGAAACTGTATGGTAAGACACTAAATTATGGTGTTCAATAAGTTGTTGGTTGTTTTAGCAATGATGGTACTTTAGTACAATGAAAAATGAAGATCGAAAGTAGAGCCATACAATTTATTTTTTTGGGATTTTTTCATTCCAAGATACTAGACTTGTCATCATGTTGGGTTTATCTCAGGAAGAGGCAATACAACAACCTTGTAGGCAAAAGGCTCTGAGAGAAGAATTGAAGGGAATGCATTCTAATCTGGAAGATTGCCAATGTACCCTTAGGAAAGAAGAGTGTTGGAAGTGTATGGTTATTTAAGATCAAATCAAATCCAGGCGGTAGGGTTGAGATGTATAAGGCCAAATTGGTTGCTAATGGATGTTCAAAGGTTCCTAGAGTTGATTTCTTGGATACCTTTTCTCATGTAGCAAAAATCAACATAGTAAAAAACTCCCATAACTGCTGCTGCAATGCATTTTCATATGGAGTTTGATTGAAGTTGTCTATACTGAGATTCTTGCATATTTGTAAGTTGATAAATCAAAAACATCCATAGGCATGTATGCTCAAGAAATCTATATATGGTTTGAAACAGTCAAACATACAATTATTTGTCAAGTTTACAACCTCATTGATTCTTTTTTTATTAAAGCAATCTTTTGAGTTTGGTTCTAGTCTGGCAAACAACAAAACAAGACAATCATCTTCATACTAAAGTTGTAGAGTGTAGATATTGCAAACACCAAACTTGACAAAAAGAAAACAAAATTGATGGGGAATCAATCCTTTGGTACATGAGTGATCGTGACAATTTTCTAACAATTTGTTGATCAATCAAGTGACAAACCACCTCAATATGTTTGGTTCATTCATGGAAAACAATGTTATGAACAATATGAATAATTAACTGAGTTTTGTATTCAACTCAACAATGCTTGCTCCTCATATCTAGGTCAGTGCTTAAAGAAGCCCGCTATGACGTCGCTTTTGTTCAGCAACCTCGTCCTACTTATATAGCTCATCAATTGTTAATCTTTCTTTCATTTAATACATATTTCATTGGTGGATTTTAGTTGTTAGTTAAATTTGGTTGTTACCGTTGCATTCAAGTGTAATTAGTAGTTTAGGAATTCATGTGCGGCATTAAATAAGCCACCTTGTACATGCAGAAATTCTTCAATGAAAATAAAAGTTTCTCAATGGAATCATAAGATCTGTCAAATCCCAAAATATTGCTAAATTATGCATAGCTAACACCCAAACCTCTAGTCCTCCACCTACTATAGATTTAATCAAATGAATCCAATTTTTATTAGGTAGGAAAACTAAATGTTTATGTTTTAACTTTTATGGGAAGAACAGCCCAAAGAACTTCACAACAAAATACTTATAACAATCACATTAGCAATATGAATCGACACTAAACAAATAAGTGTGCTGTTATAGAAGGGTATCTCTAATAAAATAAGTACTACTAGGCCAAATTAGGTAGAAGACAATGATAGTGAAAATGACCTAGAATTTCAAGTAATGCATTATTGGAAATGAGACTTAAGGACAAGTTCACATATGCCACCATGAGGGCAAACTATAATTATTTAAAAATTAAAAGGAAGGAGTTGGGGAGGAAAACAATGATAGCCATGGTAGACCAGAGACCTTTTGACATATGCTCCGACAAGTTTCTTGTAGTTTTGCAACCCAACCTCCATTAATGAAAAATCCCATGATTTGCACGGATTAAATTACTCGATCATATATATGCTATTTAGTTGGACTTGTTTTTTGTATTGGTTTTCGTGAATTAGTCCAATGTTTATGTTTCGTTGCTCTTGTTATTGCCACTTGGCTTGGCAAATTCACGGGATACTTTATACTTTGTAGTTTATGAATATTTTAACATTAGTAATTAACTTCATTGATCCCATTCCCAAGACTTTGTCATAATGGACGTGGACACGTGGCTCACTTCAGGCGAAGTTGCCGACGGCAGATTAAGCATTAGGTTTAGGTGGAGAGGAAGATACTCCCGGTCATGGAAATAGAGATTGAAAACATATTTAGTTATATTCTTATGTGTTGTTGTGGCTATAAAAGTTGACTATATAACATAACTTACCTGAAAATATTGAAATTTGTTGTTGACAAAAGTTGTTTCTTATCGAATCATATTACTTGTAATAATTTTATTCTAAAGAGTATGAGCAAATCACACTAGATTAAGTTCTTGCATATTTCCAACCCAACCCACCCGTATTTATCGCTTAAACGAAGGTTTTGGGTTGGGGGAGGATTTTCTTTTGTACAAACCGCCTCTTTTGGGTTGGGTTTGGATTTTGGTTTACACAACCCATAAGACCCAACCTAACCCGTGTTCCAACTATTAGTATAAGTTCGTATCGAAAAAATATTTATGTCGTATATAGCTGTACTTATGAGAAAATTAAGATATTTCGCCATGTTTTTCTCTCATGATATCCTTAATCTAATGTATTATTCGACTTAAAGTTTAGACATAAATTGAATATAGTTATAATTCACGTAATTCTTTTTTCTTGTGTACAATTGTAATAAAATAACCAATTATGGATGCGTTCGTTTATAACGTTTTTAGCCTAGTTTAACAAATATAGTGAAAAAACTAGACATATGTTGAAGTAAATCACATTTTCTTAAAATTCAAACAACATTTTTGAATTTTGATACCTTTCACCTCGGTTTATTCGTTTAAAATTTTAATTAGTCATAAAAATATTTTTATGGTGTAGAATAATTATATATTTTGTGTTTGGTTGGGTTTCTACTTAAAAATATCGCCAACCCGACTCAACCCATTTAGAAACGAACCGTAGGTTTTAAATATTTTTGGGTGGGTTTGGGTTCAATATTTCTCAAACCGTAGTGCATGGGTCGAGTGATTAAAATGGCTAAACCCGGACCACCCGAACCATGTACACCCCTATTTTCCACGCACCATTTTTCGATTACACATCCCAAAATTTTATTGTCGGTATTATTTTCATAGTTTCTCTCTCTCAATTTTTCTATTATTTTTCTACTTTCGTCTTAGTATCAACATTGATACTAAACAGGGTCTAATGAAATAACTAAACATTGGAGATTGTCAATTTCTATGAATTTCTTAGTTACCAATAAAATATGTTTTTGTTTTCCATTTTCATAGTGTTTTGGACTTTGGTCGAGTATTGAAAAATTGTACCTTACCAATGGTTCGACCAAAAAAAACTTTTTACAGGAAGAGAAACTGATATACAGTATTTAGCGATATTAAATGATTGAACCATGATGAAACCACAATTTCAACATCAAATACCTTACCGCTGATACAACCTCCGATACGATTTTCAATTATTTCTTTATTCTCACAACAATACTGCAACCAAAGTTTATGCATCAACTATAGAATTCATGAGTTTGAGTGTGTAAGGTCCTACAAGCTGTGGAGGCAGGGTGACAGGGAAAAGAAAGAAATGATTAATACTTAATAATTTACATTAACCCAGAAGTAAGTAATTACAAAAAATGTGGCATAATTCATATGCGATATTATATAAATAAATATAACCTGTATCTATGCGAGAGCATGTATTATGTATACTTATTGCAGCAAGCTTTGCAAAAGAGTTTAAAGGAAAATACTTTCAACAAAAAGAAAAACCTCAAGTTGCAACAGATAGCAACTAAAAAATGAAGAGCAACGCGGAAGTCTTTCTTCCCATTTTTCGCATTCTTCTTCCTAACATGAAGAAATAGGAATTTGGCTTTGGAGAACTTACTACTACTCTTCAGTTGCATAGAGCTGTTCTACGTGTTGTTTCCTAGGCTTCAACTTCCTGAACTCCCTTGAAGAAGCAGACCTCTGAACTACTGCTGCTCTGACTCTGTACATATTGTCATCATTCTTGAGGTATTTGATGCTGCTCGCCTTGGAGATCGGTAATGGAGGAAGGGGGTTCTTCGTGTTCTTGTTCCTCGTAGGACTCGGACTTTCTCCCGGAGACAACAACAACTTCTGGTTCGATAAGTCAATTGGTGAATAGATAGGCAGAGCTGGTGGAGGGCTCTCACTCTTCTCAGTTAGCTGCTTATTCCTTCCGGTTCCGGATGAACTTCCACTGCTATTAGTGTTAGTTGTAGGACTGCTCCCAGCCTCTAACGGCGTAAAGTTCACCATTTCAGGCTCCTGCACCAATCCATGAGTTTGTAAATAAAAAACCGTGACAGATGCATATGGGGTGCGGTTGGTTTTGGCTAAAAAATAGACTTAGAAGCATCACCAAAGTTAGTACCTGTTCTAGATCACCAATGTCCTCCCTCTCTCTTTCGACTGTCACTTCCTTCTTTCTCCTCTCGTGATGCTTCCTCGCTCGTTGCCTGTTGGAGTTTCTTGACCTGCAAAGGTGATGATGGTCATGGTGATTAGATTAAGCTTTAGCATATTTAGACTGTTAAGTGTCTTTCAGTAAGTCAACTTCACAATGTGGTTGGTGTCCATTTTGTCTTACTGAACTATTATTAGCCTCTCCTTTTCGTCATGACATTTAAAATAAAACACATAACTAGTACAATATACACAAATAAACAAATCAACATCAAATGATGTTGATGTTTACAAAATTGATTATCCGGTTGATTATCAGAGAAGAACTTACTTTCTCTGTTCATTAGCTTGTTCATCTTCTTCCTTGCGAAGCACAGGCAAACCAGATAAGTCGCACGCCAAAGGACTCGTGAAAAAGAACTGCAACAAAGCAAAATATATAATAAGCCCCTCGAACAACATGAATTTGGAGGACAACAATGAATAGATTCCTGAATGCTAGGAACTTTACTTGGTTGCTGAGAGCTGAGTGTGCAGATCCCCGATACCCAGGATCTAAAGCAAGAAGACTGGTCAACAGGCCAAATGAAGATTCAGGGAAGTCTCGGAAAGCTTTGAGGAGATTCGGTTTGTATAGTTGAGGGGGTCGAAAAGTTGTTGATAGCTTAAGTTTTTTCCAGTAATCCTCTGATGGTGTGCCACATAGCTTAAAGATCCTGTGCAATTGCTCAACCTGAAAGTATCAGAAAGACGGCTTGCTTGATCAGTGGAGATAGAAAGCAACCTTAGGGTGTGCACTGATCCAGTGAACCGAATTTTTCGATAATGATTAAAACTATTTGATGTTCAACCAATGAATCATAATACCTCTGTTCTCCCAGGCATGATTGGGCGGCCAGAAAACATTTCTGCCATCAGACATCCAGCACTCCACAGGTCAATCCCCACACCATAATCTGTAGAACCCAACAAAAGTTCAGGAGCTCTATACCAAAGCGTCACCACCCTGCTAGTGAGAGGTCTCTTGGGTTTAGTAGAATAATAATTCGCTAGCCCGAAATCAGCAATCTTCAGCATCCCATATTTGTCAATCAACAAGTTTGCTCCTTTAATATCTCTGTGCAAAATCCCCTTATCATGGCAATGCTGCAACCCTGATAGCAGCTGTTGCATATACGACTTCACCTGGGTATTCCCACAAACACAGACAAAAAAGTTCAATTCAAAGCTTCAACCAACAATCTCCACAGCTGGAGCTCCAGGTTGAAGTTTGATCTCTCTACTCTACCCACCTGTGGTTCAGTGAGTTGCCTCTCGTACCGAGAAATGACCGTTTGGAGATCGGTCTGCATGAAATCAAAGACTAGGTAAAGACTGTACTGAAGCCGGGAAGTGGCGATCCCTTCGAGCTTGACAATATTTGGATGATCCAACTTCTGTAGTATCATGATCTCTCTAGCCATGAACTTAACACTCTCCGGCTCGGATGTGTCCAACTTCACCTTCTTTAAAGCCACAATCTTCCCACTCTCCCTATCTCGTGCCTTGTACACATTGCTGTAGGTTCCTGATCCTATCTGTACAGCAAAATCTACCAACATTCATTAAGGAATCAATGCCGGAAACATAAACAAACTTCATGAAGAAACTTACCTTATCGAGCTTAACATAATCCTCAGCGCTCTTCTTAACCACGCCAGCCAAAACCTCTTTCGGAACGTTATCAGCGAGCCACTTAGGCCAGCCATCGACAGTCTCCTCCACACCAAACGGATCCATTCCCCTAATCGGATCCATTCTTCCCACAACGCCTCCTTCGCTCCCACCACTCCCACCGCTGCCTTCGCTCTTCATTTTTCTATCCCTTCCATCCCTCTCTTTCGTCTCCCCATAACTCTCTCCACCATCGCCGCCGGCAGCGAACCCACCTGTGTATGTCCTGAGAGGCGGTTGCGGGTCGCCCTTGTCGCCGTACCTCCGACCCGAGCCCCGATGATGAGGACCCATCGATCTTCGATGCTGCCCGTCAAATTTTCGCCTCGTGGGAGGGAACCTGAAGAAAACGTAAAAGGAGAGCAGACACAGCGAGATTTACGTGGTTTCCCCGTTCGATGTGAACGAGACTACTCCACGGAGAGTTCACACTCTCAGGATTTCTGATTATGATGATGATGATAGTTAGGGTTTGTAGCCCTAGTTACAAGCATATATAGCAGCCGATTTCTACAGGAAACCCTCGGCTGACTCCTGACCAAGAAAATACAGAATGGTCCTTGACATAAATTAAAATGACAAATAAGTACTCATAACACGCCCCCTCAAGCGGAGGAATGAATGTCAATCATTCCAAGCTTGACTCGAAGATGATGAAACTGAGCCACGCTCAATCCTTTTGTGAACAAGTCAGCAGGCTGATCAGAGGTAGAGACCTTCAGAGGAGCAATATCCCGGGAGAGAACCCGCTCTCGAACGAAGTGACAATCCATTTCCACGTGCTTAGTGCGCTCATGGAAAACCGGGTTAGCTGAGATATGCAGAGCCGCCTGATTATCACAATAAAGAGGAGTGGGAGCATCCAAAGAAATACCAAAGTCCCGAAGAAGCCAGCGAAGCCAAACAACCTCACTGACTGTAGTGGCCATCGCCCGATATTCCGCCTCGGCAGACGAACGAGCAACAACAGATTGCTTCTTGGTACGCCAGGAGACAGGCGCGCCACCAAGCATGATAAAATAACCAGTAGTAGATCGCCGAGTAAGAGGACAGCCAGCCCAGTCCGCATCACAATATGCTGTCAAAGTGAGGGAACCGGCCGCAGGGAGGAGAAGGCCACGACCAGGTGAGGTCTTAAGATAGCGCAACACTCGGAACGCAGCATCGACATGTGCCTGCGTAGGGGAGTGAACTGCCTGGCTGAGGACGTTAACAGCATAGGTGATGTCCGGACGGGTGACCGTCAGATAGAGCAGGCGACCAACCAAGCGACGATAAGCTGCAGGATCTGGAGCAGGAGCAGAAGAAGCACGACCAAGCTGATGATTCTGCTCGATAGGAGTAGCACTGGGACGAGTAGCCTGCATGCCTGAATCAGCAAGAATGTCCAAGACATATTTCCGTTGATTTAAAACAATGCCTTGGGGAGAGCGAGCAACCTCAATGCCCAAGAAATACTTCAAGGATCCCAAGTCCTTGATGGTAAAACGAGAGTGGAGAAAGTCCTTCACACGCTGAATAAAAGAGAGATCAGTGCCTGCAAGAATCACGTCATCAACGTATATGAGTGCAGCCACATAGGTCGCCCCCTGACGATAAACCAGGAGGGAATGATCAGCCTGACTGGGAACAAACTGCAATTCCAATAAAGCATGAGTGAACTTCTGATACCAGTTGCGAGAAGCCTGTCGCAACCCGTAGATAGATTTGCGCAAACGGCAGACACGCGTATCACCAGGGCGAGCAAAACCAGGAGGGACTTTCATGTAGACCTCCTCAACTAAATCGCCATGGAGAAAGGCGTTGTTGACATCGAGTTGATGAATATGCCAACCACGAATAGCTGCAACAGCTAGTAAGCACCGAACAGTGACAAGCTTGGCCACCGGAGCGAATGTGTCGTGATAATCAATGCCTTCTATCTGGGTATAGCCTTTAGCCACCAAGCGAGCTTTGTAGCGTTCGACTGTACCATCGGGATAGAATTTAATTTTGTAAACCCATTTGCAATCGATGGCCTTCATCCCAGGAGGTAAAAACTCCAAAGTCCAAGTGCCGTTCTTCTCGAGAGCTGTAATCTCAACCTGCATGGCATCACGCCAAACCTGATGCCGAACAGCCTGATGGAAAAAGCGAGGCTCATCAAGCAAAGTGACAGCCGCAACAAATGCCCGATGAGCAGGAGAGAGACGTCGATTGTGGAGATACTGCTCAAGAGGATAGGTGACGTGAGAAGCCTGAGGGGGATCTCGACGGCCCGGCAAGTCTACGTCAAAGCCACGGAGACGAGTGGAAGGAATGCTGATCCGGGAGCTTTGACGCACAGGCTGCGGAGCAGCGACAGGAGCAGGGGGTTGCGGAGCAGCAACCGAAGCCTCCTCCAAAGCCGATGAAGAGACAGGAGAGCCGGGCGAGGAGGAGGGGCCAGGAGGAGATGATGGCTCGACCGGAGCCGAGGACGACTCGGGAGGAGAGGAAGCCGAGGTGGATGGCTCTGGGACGGGAAAATCATCGTCCTCATCACGCGCAGGCTGGGGAAAGTGCGGGTGAGTAGTGCGAGCCTCCACCTGAGAAACAGACTGACCCGGCCGATAGGGAAAAATGTGCTCGAGGAAGTGCACATCCCTAGATGTGTAAATGACCCGCCGTTCAAGATCATATATACGATATCCACGCTGAGTAGCCGGATATCCAAGGAATACTCCAGCGCGACCACGATCCCCAAATTTATGTAAGCCATAATGATTATCGCGAGCATAAACCATGCAGCCGAAAGACCGGAGGTGAGAGTAAGAGGGGTTCTTGCCAAAAACCCGCTGAAAAGGAGACTGATTATCGATGGATACAAGAGGCATACGATTGATGAGATAAGCAGCTGTCAGAACACACTCACCCCAGAAACGAAGTGGAAGATTAGCATGGAACCGGAGAGCCCGTGCTGTATCTAATAGATGCCGATGTTTCCGCTCGACAACCCCATTCTGCTGGGGAGTGTCAGTGCACGAAGTCTGAAGCACGATACCTTCTGCCTCATAGTAAGTTCGCAGCTCAGATGAGGAGAACTCAGGAGCATTATCCCCCTGAATACGCCGAACACGACTGGTGAACTGAGTCCTGACCATGTTGCAGAAATAAATCAAATGACGAGCCACATCGGATTTAAACTTCAGCAGAAAGACCCAAACAGCACGGCTAAAATCGTCCACAATAGTCAAGAAAAAACGTGCCCCAGATATAGAGGCAACTTTATAACTTCCCCAAACATCAATGTGTATCATCTCAAAACAAGCACTCGTCCGAATGGTACTAGGTAAAAAAGGAGTTCGAGTATGTTTAGCTCGAAGACAAGAATGACAAGGTTCTGCCGACTTAACAATAGAACTGGGAATAAACTGTTGCAACAGATCAAACTTGGCCCTAGACGGATGCCCAAGTCGTGCATGCCATAAGGTAGAGTCATCAACTGCTTGCTTCACTGCATTCGCCATCACATGTGAACCATCAAAGAGCCGAAGATAGTAAAGCCCATCAAGATGCTGCCCCATCCCAATCAGCTTCCTGGAAGGTAAGTCCTGAATAACACAAAAGTCGCGCATAAAGATTAATGCCACTGGCAGATCAGCTGTGAGTCTACTGACTGAGAGAAGATTGCACTGAAAATCCGGCACGTGCAATACTCGTCGAAGAGTGAGGTCACTAGATAACCGGGCTGACCCTATACTGTGAACCTGTATACCCATTCCATTCGGAATGCGAACCTGGAGACCCGGGGAACCATCATGTTCCTCGGTCAAAAGCGATTTATCATTAATGATATGTTCGTTACAACCACTATCAAGAATCCATGAACTTTTGGAAGGGAATTCCGTACCTGCCATGTTGGAAACCGGATCGAGAGGAGTCGAAGATGCTGCCTGAGGCTCGGCCCCCAACAAGGCCTTGAGTTGACTGAACTGTGTGGCCGTCAACCCCGGAATGGGACTCGAAGCTGCTGTGTCGACCTGCGCAGCACGCGGAGAGGGATTCCCGGAACGGCGACGGGGCTGATCGGCTTTGTCACCAGAACGAGGAGGGTAACCGTGCAATTTGAAGCACGTATCCTTGAAGTGGCCGGATTTGAGACAATGAGTGCAATATGGCCGACCATCGGCATCACGATCACGATCCCCTTGACCCGGAGAAGGCGACCGGCCAGATGGAGGGCGACGGTCTCCCCGAGCTTGAAACGCGGCCGCCTCAGCTTGAGGGCGACGCTGACTAGCGACCAGCCGCTGCTGCTCATCGTTGACCACCATGTGATAAGCTTCGGCGACGCTGGGGAGAGGTTTCATCGCCAAAATCTGCGACTTCACCGTGGAGAACGGGTCATCTAGACCCATAAGAAAGTCAAATAATTTCTCAACTTCATGTGATTCACGCTGACGTTTCTTGGCATCACAGGTGCAATTATTGCAAATACAATCAATGGAAGGAGCGAGAGACGTGGCCTCATCCCAGAAGCCGCGCAATTTTGTGTAAAATGCAGCAACCGAGGTCTTTTCTTGGTGCAGAGAACTGATCGTACGACGAAGCTCGTACTGCCTCGCGGCGCTGCCGTGACCGAATCGCGCTTCCAGGTCCAACCATATCTCTCGAGAAGTCTTGGCAAACCGAACGCTGCTACGTACATCTTTGCTCATGGAGGTCTTTAACCACCCTTTGACCATGGCATCGCAGCGTTTCCATGCGTCTCGTTCAACTCCAGCCTCCGGACAGGGAAGGGAGCCATCCACGATACCAAGTTTATTCTTGGCGATCAACGAGTCGGTGATATCGCCAAGCCATTCACTGTAGTTAAGATCCGTGAGCAAATCACCAACATAGAGATGACTAGGGGAATCGGATTGATGAAGGAACAGAGGCGACGGCTGAATCGGGGGTTTGGGTTCGCCACCGCTGCCGCCAGAAGTTGCGTCGTGTTCAGCCATGGGGAGATGAACTGTGGAATCGTCTCACAGCTCTGATACCATGAAGAAAACGTAAAAGGAGAGCAGACACAGCGAGATTTACGTGGTTTCCCCGTTCGATGTGAACGGGACTACTCCACGGAGAGTTCACACTCTCAGGATTTCTGATTATGATGATGATGATAGTTAGGGTTTGTAGCCCTAGTTACAAGCATATATAGCAGCCGATTTCTACAGGAAACCCTCGGCTGACTCCTGACCAAGAAAATACAGAATGGTCCTTGACATAAATTAAAATGACAAATAAGTACTCATAACAGAACCCATTAACTAATTTCACCTTCCCCTTCCCTTTGTTCGGTGAAATTGAATTGTGCTGCTTCCCCTGAGCGGCACCCATTTTTTTAGGGTTTTTGTTGCTGAAGGAGTTTTTCTTCGATTTTCAATGCGTCTCTTAAATGGGAGGAGGAGCAGGTGGTTTGGAGGGACGGGAAATTAGAGTGTAGAAGAAGAGGAAGAGGGTTTTGGGAAGGAATCGGAGAGGCGGCAGAGTGGTGGTGGTCGTCGGAGAAGGAGGAGGCGACACATGGTGGTGGGATGGAGAAAGGGAAGAATGAAGAAGAGAGCTTTGAGGAAGGGTTGGAAAAGGGGGGAGAAATGGGGAGTAGGCGAAGGGAGGCATTGGAGATGCCGGCCATGGCCGGTTTGTCTGGTAGTGATTTGGGTTCTGTCGCATTCTGGTTTTGGGGGAGAGGGAAAAGTGAATCGGAAGAGGTGGAAGGAAGAAATCCCCTCAGCTTTGGTAGATCCGATGGAGGGAAACAAAATCCCCGCGTATTTTAAAAACTTGATAAGAAGGCTACCAAGCTATTTACCCGAGATAGTTACCTACCAGTTAGATATTTTTTTAACAATCCTATAATCCTAGTAGTTAGATTTGATCACTTCTATTATGCTATATAACATTGGTGCTTTACCCCCTGTTTCCGAAGTAGGGAAGGAAAAGGAGGGGAGGGGAGGGACAATTTGGAGGGGAGGGAAAATTGGAAGGGAAGGGAATTGGAGAGAAAATGTTGTTTTATGGGGGAAAGTGAAAGGGATAGAGGGAGGGAAAAGTATATAGGGAAGTGTGATAGATATGTTATTTTATTGATTATGTAATAGTAAGTATATGCAAAAAATGCGAAGATGAATATTATGAATAACCAATTTTTACATAACAATGATCATTTTTATTATTTGTTAACGGAACATATATTGTTCATTTAACTCGCTTTTATTTTTTCATACAAATTTTATTACCTTTGTAGTACAAGATGACGTCCATTCTATAAAAAATGTAACACTCTGATGTCGTTTTACTTGAAACTTAATACACATTTACGTTACACATAGTTGTGTAAAACAACGTTTTGTGTGACTCATGCAGTCTAAATCACCTATTTGGTTCGGTTCGATCCGGTCTAAATATTCAATAAGTAGATAAACATCTTGCATTCTTGCTATAAATTTCACGTATCGTGTAAAAACAACGTTACGCGTAAAAACAATGTTGCACTAATACTTTTCGTTATTTATGGGTTTTGGAATATGATGTTTTTAAACATTTGGTTCAATATTATTTTGTATGGTGATTGTTTTTGTGATTATTAAATTTTCAGTATTAAGAACTTGATTTTCAATAATAAGAATTTCTGGGTTCGTTTTTATTCTGTTTTTCACTTTCAATTGGTTTCCAATTATTTTCTTCCTTTTGCAGGTGAGGAGTTCTGTGTTTTGTGAAAAGAAGAACAAAGAAGGAATGGGGAAAAAAAGAACGAAGAAGAAAGATAAAAGAGAGATGATGCAAATAAATAAAAAAAAAACTAAGCCCACTCAGCATTTTCCCTCCAATTTGGAGGGTAGGGTAAAACAGTGTTTTTTCCCTCCCCTTTTCTTTCCTTGCACACTGTTCCTCCCTTCGGAAACGGAGGAAAATGTTTGGGAATTCCAACTTTCCTTCCCCTTTTTCCCTTCCCCTCCTTTTCCACTCTTAAAAAACAGAGGGTTAATAAACAACTTGAAGTTGTACCATAACATTAAATGTTGAAGTTCATATTGTACCATAAAGGAATTTGTATCATTATGTTATGGTACAATTTTACAATTTGAAGTTGTACCATAACATAATGATACAATTTGAAGTTGTACAATAAAAGAATTTGTACCATCACATAAAGATACAATTCAAGTTGTACCATAAAAGAATTTGTATAAATAGTATAGGTACAATATGCAATTGTACCATAACGTTAAAGATACAATTTCAAGTTGTACCATAAAGGCAAAAACCTAGCACCAATACTATATAGCATTGTAAAATTCCTCGTAAACGATTTACGGGTGGGTAATGAATGGGTTGTGTGGATTTTAATGTTAAACTAATCAACCCACTTATTAACGAATTAGTAAAATTGTGACTCGCAATTCACCCACACACTACTTTGGGTTGGGTTGAGTGGGTGACGAATGAGTGCTGTTAGGTTGTGGGTTAATTCACAAACGCAATTCTTTAACATGTAATTAGGCAATTTGACTCATATTTATAATAAATTGCTCGCAAAGACTCCATCAATTTATACACTTCCGCCAATTTGTTACTTATGGAGATCTCTCTCACTTGTATAAAATCTTTCATTACTTAATCAACCAATTATGTAAAGACAGTTCACGTTTTTTTTTCTCACTTAGATACAATTAATAATTTATAGTTTACATTTCAATATCTAATGAAAATTATATACACAACATAGTGACCAATAGTAGTAGCCAAAAAATATTCTTTATTTTTCAACATTAGAAGTCGATGGTCAGTGTAGTCGGTTAAAAAATATGGTAACTATTTGTTAGTATAAACAATAAATAACTATTTTCCATGTAAAGACGGGGTGCGGGTCATTCGAGTGACCTGCAACCCACCCATCACCCACACGACAAGTGCGGGTAGGAAATTTGTTGATCAACAATTCACCTGCATCAATCACTCGTCCACTGCGGTTTGGGTTATTTGCGAGTGGTTCAATGTCAAATCGTGAATTACCCACCCGCATGCAAGGGGCAGAGGTAACCCCTAACAAGGATGTTCCATGGCACCCCCTTAAATTTGGAGAAACCAGCAAAAGTTAGTATCCAACCACGATCGATGGTTGATTGGCAAATTTTTACTATCCAACCACGATCGATTACATAAATTAATTTAACCTACTAATATCTACATTAATATAGTTTATCAAGATGGGTATGACTTGCGGAGTATTGGAGAAAATTAATAACTTTATATGATAACGATAGTTGAAAGAGAAAATTGGTTCTCATCAATGTATGTGCTTATGAAATTTGGTTTAGTTTGTTACTACATGTTGTCAATACACATGTTAGAAGAATATATTATGCAAGGGAATAGTTGACCTATCTAATAAAGTGAAACGAAATTGTAAATGATTATATGGTGAGATAAGATTAAGAGCAATCTTAATTATTTGATAATATCAAACAAAAACTTCATTATGAGTTATTGTTCAAAAATTATGTTACGTTATTTTTGTAATGCATCACCTTAAATAAAACTTTGACTAACCCCATTGCCCGCATGCGCACCCCTACTTAGATTTGTGATTCTGCTATTTTTATACCGGCTCATGCATTGATACACTTATTTCCTAACTAGTTTTTTACCCGCCCGTTGGGCGGTGCATTATATTTAGTTATTTTATAAATCTTTATAATATTCTAATTATTATTATTTATGTTTGTTGATCTAATATACATGTACTTGATTTAAAAATTTTATACCTTTTTCATTTATGAAAAATTTAATTGTATCAACCGAGCTCTCTGTAGACCGTTCTTTATTGATTTAGAATTTTGTATCGAACTCAAATAAGTGATGAAGAAGTTAAAAAATTTAAGGCAACAAACGAAGAAGTTAGAATAAAAAAATATGCTTCAATTAATTAAAAAATAAGTAAAGAGCTTTTCATTTTCTTTCCCTTATCGTATGTCATTATATGATAGTAGAGAATATTTCGATCTAGATCCCCCACGAATATAATGTATTATCAGTTACACGTGCAATTCTGGAAAAATGATGAAACACATTAACATCCACATCCATCAATCTTCCGCATAATTAATTTATCTTGGCAATGTTCTAGCAAAACCAACCACAAACAAAACTATCAGTTATCACTAATTTATTAAAGCAATATTTTCAACAAACTAAACTGCATATAAACACAATTTATATTTTATAAAGAGTTGCATATCTCCTGCAAAAAAAAAAGTGTTCTTTTACCTAATAACAACATAGACAAATAATTAAAGGAGTACTACTTCAATATAACTAAAATAATTCTATCTTGCAGATTCCTAATTTGTGAACTGAATCTATGCACTCATCCAAATAGTAGTTGGTAAGAAAACAATCATGTCATAATCAAGCTTTAGTTAGGGATTCCACCCTAATGAAACAAACAAATGTCAATGCAAACGTGTAGAAATTGAAAATCATTGAAATACACAACCGATAAACCACCACCATCATTTTCTTTCTTCTTCGCGGCCTTTATAAAACCCTTATTATGTTCACTTCTACTAATAATCCCTTTGCTACCTACTAATTACTAACATATCATCATCTTATAGCTAGCTAGTAGCATGTCAATCATGAACATAAAGAATATAATGAACAACCCTCACAACTCTACTTTCCATTTCAATATCTAAGGAATCGTGTTGCAATAGGCATTTAAGAAAAACGATCAATTATTCAAAAAGAGATATGCTCTAAGTCCAACCAATTATTCCTTCTAATCATATATTATCTATTTACATAAAAGTGTATGACGTAATAGAGAACATAAAACAACTCCGTGAAAACGAAAAAGAAATACATTCACTCATCGAGTGGGAAAATTTGCCATCCAGCAGTTTTAATTTGGAAGAAATTAAAAAAATAATGGAAAGAAGAGTGAGTAGTTGCCAGCTTCAGATCAAGGAGGAAGAGGGAGCAGTTGACAAATGTCGATTTTGTTCACCTCGTTTTCGCAATGATAGGATGAACTGCTGTCATCAGCAGGCAAAAATATGTTACAACTGCTCAAAATTTTGCCATCTAATTGTTGCCTCGCGTACCTCCCTCCTCCTATTCTCCTACAAAGAAAAAAAAAATTCATATGCATTATTTCTTTCTCTATCTAAATTCTTATTTTCAATGTTGGATTTTATTTCTAGAGAGACAATCAAAATAGAAAAAGGGTAGAGATAAATTAATAGGCTGCATTCATAATTAATATGTTTTTATTTAATAGGAATGAATAGGAAGTGTTACAAAAATAACAATTATTGCTCTATCAAGTTTGTCTCCATACTTTTTTTTATATAAGTTATATTTATTTTTTTTTATAAGTATATGCATTAGTAAGAATTGAGTTTTGATAGCAAAAAATATATAGTCATATAGCTTGTTTTTCAAAATCGATTGATTGTCAAACACTTATTTTCTCTTAGACCATCGTTTAAATTTTGTTTAGTTGAAAATTTATTATTATTCATATGTGTGCTTGTTTTTTCATCTAAATGTAACTTATTATAAATTTTTAGTAAAAATTAATAGAAAATTTACTTATAAGATATTTTTGGGTTAAACAAACACAATATATGTCACTCTCTATTTCATATAGTAAGTTTAATTGAAAAAAAGATTATTACTTATGTGTGTTTGTTTGTTTGTTTAAACGTTTCACAAAAAATGTAACTTATTTTA